TACGAGCTGTGGGATGAAGCTGAGCAGTTCATGGGGGATGAAGAGAAAACCTGTGAGGGAACTCATTGATGGCAAGTGGCTGTGTGATTTAGTGTTCATGGTAGACATTACCAAAGACCTCTCAGAGCTCAACATCAAGCTGCAGGGCCCCAACCTGATTCTCAGCTTCCTGCTTTCAAATGTGAAATCATTTTGCCCTGGCCAGTTTGGCTCAGCGGTTAGAGCGTCGGCCTGCGGTCCAGAGAGACCCGGGTTCAGTTCCCGCTAAGGGCACGTACTTCGGTTGCAGTTTGTCCCAGGCCCTGGTTGGGTCGTGCGGTTGGCAGCCACTCGATGTGTCCCTTCACGTTGATGTTTCTCTCTCTCTCCCTTCCTCTCTCTCCCTCCTACTCTATCTGTATAAAAAATGGAAAAATATCCTCGAGTGAGGATTAAAAAAAAAACACACAAAAAAAACCAATGTGAAATCATTTTAAGCTAAATGTGGAAAATGTAACTCTAAAGGAATAACATGGTGCATTTCCCCACTCTGAAAGGACAAAAGCCTTCTATGATATGTGAATATGCTGCTGAATGTGCGAAACTAGTTGAGGCATGTAATGAAAGACTCAAAGATGTGTAAAGTAAACAAATGGAATTGAACATCTTTGCTACACCCTTTAATGTGGAACCAACTGATGTGCCTGATAACCTACAGTATGAAATTCAGCTGCAAAGCAATGATGAGTTGAAAGCTAGGTAAACAACCTCCTACTGCTTTAGTTATATAAATGTTACATAAGCAATGATGAATATCCCACTTTGAGGAGACATTCATTGAAATATGCATCTGTATTCGGAACAACTTATTGCTATGAGCAGTTCTTTTCAAAATATACCATCTCAAAGAGTCAGCTGTGCTCCAAACTGACAGATGCAAACCTGGAAAAGCAGTTGTGAGTAGCAACATCATCAATACCAGCTAACATCACATGCCTCACCAAAGAGAAGCAGTTCTAGCCATCACATTGAAGAGCTTCTGGGTTGGTGAACAAGAAAACATCCATGCTCAGGGAGGGTGGTGCATCTCAAATTCCCTAGGTGTGGCAGGATAGTAAGAAGTTAGGAAAATTTCTTGGCAAGTGGAGTGGGGAAACTGAGATAGGTAGATGATTCAAACTGACCTCATACAGCACTCTGACTCACCTGCCTCCTCTCCCTTGTACAACCACCCCCTTAAGCATTAAGCCCTTAGGACAATGGAATTCTAGTTCAAATGAAACTCTTAGGAACAAAACCTCAGGTCTGCCCTGTCCAGGTGGCTCAGTTGATTGGAGTGTCGTCCTATGCACCAAAATGTTGCGGATTCAATTCCCAGTCAAGGCACATACCTAGGTTGCAGGTTCGATCCTCAGTCAGGAGGCAACCAATCAATGTTTCTTTCTCATGTCAATGCTTCTCTCGCTCTCTCCCCTTTCCTCTTTCTCTAAAAATCAATGAAAACATATCCTTGGGTGAGGATTAAAAGGAAAAAAAAGCCTCAGGTTTGTTGACCACAGAGACAGTTTTAGTTAAACTAGAGATAACATCTAGGCTCAATTGTATTTCAACATCAGGCCCAGAAAAGCAGCAAAAACAGATGAAGCATGGCTAACATCAGGACCAGATGCAATGACCAATGACCTTCCTACCTTAGCCCTGACCAATCAGTAGAGACCAAAACCCTGACCCTATAGGCTCATTTTGATGCATCAGCATCTGGAAAGCTGGTGAATATTCATTCTGTTGAGATACTACCCTGAATTTCCTGCCTTTAGAAAATGTATTTAAAACCTTTACAACAAAGGCCCCAGTGCATGCGCTCTTTCTCTCTCTCTCTCCAGCATGCCTGCCCCACCTCTTTTCTAAGGTGCTTTTCTTTGCTTTCTTTCTCTAATGGTACTTCTTTTGCCTCAGTAGCTTGTTTCCTGAGTCCACACAACTCATCTGCTCACTTCTTCTGCCTCTGTGACTTTCTTTCTAAAGGGCCAAGGCAGCCACACCTAGGCTCAACTATTCTTCACATTTCTAAAGGTCCAAGGCAGCTCACTCTGGGTCCTCTTCTATCTTAAACCCTTCCTTTGTTCCAGCTTTAATAAATGTACCCTCAAAACCACTGGACTCGTAAATCTTTTCTTTGAGAAGTAAAGAACTAATAGCCCACAATTCTGCTAACACTGGGACAGAAGCTCCTATGCTGGGAGCCCTTCTGGACCTTACCCTATGTATCTCTTCATCTGGCTGTTCATTTGTATTCTTTAATATGCCCTTTGAAGTACATCAGTAATAGTTAAGTATATCGTTTTCCTAGGTTCTGTGAGCCTTTATAGCAAATTATCAAACTGGAGGAGGGGTTCATGGGAACCTCTAATTTGTAGCCAAATCTGATAGATGTTGTGGGTGACCTGGGGACCCACTAATTGTGACTGTGTCTGAAATGGGTGCAGTCCTGTGGAATCTGTGCTGACTCCTGGTAGTGTCGGACCTGAGTTAATCTGTAGGACACTCAGTCTATGACTGTAGAACTGTTTGATTGGTATGGAAAACCCACACATCTGCTGGAAGTGTTCTGTGTGTTGAAGAAAGTGTTTTCCTTTCAACCTACAAGCCCAGCATGGTCTGGTTCCACCCAACCCTGTCATCACCTCTTGCTCTTGCTCTGCTTCAACCACACCTCTTTCCTTGCGGCTGGCTCCTTCGTCTTCATGAAGATTCCACCTTCACAAGGGTAACTTCCTCAGTCACTTCTTCTGGATTCAGTTCCATAGTACTGGATTGCTTCCTCAGTCTCCCTTCCCTTTGCTGACTGAAGTCTAACTCAGCCCCCAACTGAGTAGAGACCATGCCTGATTTGTCCCCATCAGGGCCTGGGGCTTATTAGGCTCTCAAGGATTTGTGGAAGTAACTGAACGAGAGAATCTGACATCAAATATCTCCATGGCTTTGTCAAAGTTAAGAAACATTCAAACTTGTGAAAAATGTGTTTTATTTAAGTCAAAACTGTCAACAATGGCCAGGAAGCAAAATCAAAATGGACTGAGATAATGCTCAAGAGAATGGTAGTTTTGCACATATATATACATACACACACACACACACACACACACACACACATATATATAACCAACCCCCATAAGTGGGTTGGTTATGTGAAATCCATTGGTGAGAGATTAGGGAGGTGGGAAAAAGCAAAGTGGGGAAATCTCTGGGATTGGATAAAAAGTAAAATGACAGACACATACATCTTTTACATAAGTGGGTACAGGATAGTTAACAACTCAATAACAATGTGGGGAGTTATGGTCTCTGCAGAGTGGTACCTGTGCTTTGAGGAGTCTGGAAAAAGGAAAATTCCTTTGACATTCCAAAGATATGTTACTATAGATGCAAAAAGACAATAGACAGGCTCGGTTAAGGTAAAGAATGATCTTTGCCAGGGAAGATGCTGGCTTAGGACATGACTACTTGCCATAAACTGCTTTTAGGTCTTTGTTGCAAGGTCGCCATGCGGGCCTTCCCTGAGCTTGTCAGGTTAGCACATGGCCCTTTTTCATCGACTGATTTCATAAAAAGGGCTCACCTTGGAAGGTTCCAGAAGGGAAACTTGGATGAGAGACATCATACAAGCAAACATTTCCACTAAATCTCAGGTTTAAAAAAAGTTATTAAAAACTGTAGGTATTCATACATCCAAAGAACTGCTGATCAGAGCTTGGCATTTCCAGATAGAGAATGGATGGCCATGCTGAGATGAACAGTGTTGACAAAAAAGGTACCATATACTAAACCTGACAAGCTCAGAGTGGCCTGCATGGCAGGTCTTAGAAACACAGAAACCTCACGTAACACATAGGATAGTCTGAAATTAAAGCTGCTTAACTAAAAGCAAGTCATGGGCCCTGGCCAGTTTGTCTTAGCAGCTAGAGCATCGGCCTGTAGTCCAAAGAGACCCGGGTTCAGTTCCCACTATGGGCGCGTACCTCGGTTGATTTGTCCCCTGCCCCGGTTGGTCGTGTGGGTGGCAGCCACTCGATGTGTCCCTTTCACGTCGATGTTTCTCTCTCTCTCCCTCCCTCTCTATCTGAACAAAAAATGGAAAAAAATGTCCTTGGGTGTGGATAAATAAATAAATAAAAGCAAGTCATGGTGGGTAGTCATGTCCTAGGCCTGTATCTTCCTTGACAAAGGTCTATTTTTACCTTAACTGAGCCAGCCAGTCTTTGCGTCTACGATAATCTACAATAAAGGGTCAGAGTAATCCCCTTTATCCAGACACCTAACAATCTTCCATTAGAGCACCTAACCAGGAACTCCTCGTTATCTTACTGCCCAAATACCATCTCTTTGTGCGGTAAATGTTAACTATCCCATACCCACCAATGTAGAAGTATTTGTCTCTTCATTTTACTTCTTATGCAGTCTCAGACTTCCCAGCTTTGCCTTTTCCTGCCTCCCTAACCTACCACCAATGAATTTCATGTAGCCCTCCTTACTCCTCCTCCTTTGGCTATAATGTATAAAATAAAATGCAAATCTGTCCTTCTCCAGGGTATTTTCTCAATTTATTGAGATTTTGCTTCCTGGCAATTATCAGTTTGGTTCTAATAAACTCATAAAAATCTCTGCAGGTTTGGACATTTCTTACATCAACAAGTATTGCTCCAATCAGAAACAGGGCCAGGTTACCTCCAGTCCCTCCTGGTATACAAATCTCTTCTATGGTTCCCATGGATTCCAGAGGGATCATACAGATAGCAATTGCCGACTGAATTCCCTAGGTAGAGCCACACTGTTTTAGCTTTCTTCACATCCACAAAGAAAACAGCTCTTCTAGCCTCACCTACCTCCTTCAGAACACCAAAGGCAGAAGATGGAAAGGGCCTTCAAGGGAAGTCCAGGAAAGCCTGTACTATGATATTAAGACAGAATTGAGACCAACAGATTAACAGTATTTAGATTTTATTAAAAATTTAAACCACAGAAACAGAAATTGAATATACAAACAAAAAGAAAATGGGGAAATGAGTATCGAGGAGAAAAAAGATTAACACAGCAAGAGTGAGCAGTATGAGCAGTAGTCCTCATTACCTTACAAATCCCTCTGACTCTTCCTCCTGCAGGAAATCAAGCTGTGTCACTACAGAGGGTAGAGGGGTTGCACTCTTTTCTGCCCACTCGATTTCTCCACTCAGAAAAGCCTGAAGGAGAGTCCAGAAAAACACTCCCAATACCTTGAGCTTGCTCTTTAGCCAAAGTGGCCAAAGCAGCCAGGACATAAAACTCAAGCCAAGAAGGCAATAGTTCTTGTAACACCCTTATATGCTCAGTCACCTAAAAGGCTGTGGGTATCTTGAACACACTAGATTCGATTCAGGATGAAGTGGAAGCAAACCTCCTGTAAATGGTGGGTTACCGAGCAGTTGAAAAAGAAACATTGACAAAGCATGTTCACCCAAGATGGTGAGAAAAGCAGGAAGGGAGCCTAAGAAATAAATGGCAACAGTCCCAGCCACAACCCAAGCCCCGCAGACTTGGGGAAGCCAGATGCTTCAGTTGCCAGCTTTTGCCCCACCACACTCTGTGTCCCCCGGCAATTGGGTTTTATATCCTTGAAGCACAGAGTGAAGTGAACACTGGAATGACTTCCCAGCCAGAATGAGGAAGCTGCTATGGAGGCTCAGAACTGCTGGAGGATTATCTTCTGCTTCAGGTCATGGCTGAACTTGTTCATCCGAAAGAGCTCACTGTCATAAAAGGCAGAGAGGTTGTGGATGTTGATCTGACGGGCCTAAGAGGAGGAAAGGTCAAATGAGCCTTGGGAATGGATTCCAGAATGTCTAAGTCCACGTAGCCCTGGATTCAGTTTGCTTTCTAAGGCCCATTTACCACAAGCTAGGCAGGGCTCATATCTCCATTATAGGGAAGTCAATCAGGACAGAGGCTGGCTATGTCAGGGTCTGGAACTAGACACAGGTTTGCCATCTTACCTCTGTCAACTTCCCATGAGCTCAGGAGAGCTACTCAGTTGCCCTGTGCTGTCTCCTCTGTATGATGAAATGACAGTAACGGGACTTACCTCTTTCGGCTGCTGTCAAGATTATAAGTGCATGAAACAGTGCTCAGCACATTATAAACAATAAATGGCTTTCATCCAAGGTCCACCTACTCACTGACAGAACAAAGACCTTTTGCCTCCAAAGATGACTGACTGCTCCCAGGTAGCAACCCTGCCCCTCCGCTCCCATCTGTACACATACCTTGTCCACCAAGTCCTTCTCAGGCACTTCAATAGTGTCCTGCTGGGCCCCAAAGCGGTTACGTTGGTAAGTCACCTGCTCTGCCACTAGCTGCTTCAGTATGAAGAGCAACAGCTCATTGTTATCACGCCGGAATGAAAGGTAGCGGGCAAAGGTCTGCATGAGAGAAGAGTAAAAATCATCATCCCTCCCTACCAGGACACTCAAAGACACTAAAGGATGTGGTCATCCCACTTCTGCCATGCTCCCTTCACTACCAGCAAGAGCAGCCAGATCAAGGAGTTTCTGCTGCCAGGTAGCACAGCAAAGCCCAGTGTCCAGGCCAGTGTCTCAAGATGTCCATGTATAGCCTCCTGTGCTAAGCTGACCCTTAGCTCTAAAGGAGCCCCACCTCAGTTCACACCCACCTTTCGCATGCTGCGCATGACACTGAATTTCTGTGTGTCAATGAAGCTTTCCAGCATCACGCGGATAGCCATGTTGACATCATCCTCTATCACGTAGTCCCGCAGGTGGATACGCGCATGGGCCTCTGCCATACGGATCATGGACTCGATGTGCCGCACGGTGATGGGGATGCTTCCTGTCGCCTGGAGAGGAAGACAACTTATCTTCTCAGGCAGAAGAGAGGCAAGGAAAATGGCAGTGGCAATGCTAACAGCCCAAACCCAGAGGGCACATCTAAATACTCTATGGCAGAAGTGCTAAACAGAGACACCCACTGAGCTCATACTTTCTGTTCCTTTTTGAAGTTTGGTAGTGCCCAGTGGATGTCTATGCTATGGCGTGCCACTATCACACCTGCACATTTTGATCCCAGCAGTTCATTTATATGCATCCCAGAGTTCGTTATACTTGTGGCCCGTTGTCCTTGTTACTGTCATGAGCCAAGTAGAGAAAATAAGCTGTTGTTTCTATGAAAACTAAGTTGAATGCTCAGAGAAGACTTGATGAAGTTAAAAGGTTTTAAAAAAAGGAAATTCCTGGCCAGTTTGGCTCAGCGGTTGGAGCGTCGGCCTGCGGACCAGAGTTCTGGGTTCGGTTCCCTCTAGGGGCACATACCAAAAAATAAAATAAATAAATAAAATTTAAAAAAAGGAAAAAGTTGTTGTCTTGATTAGGTGGGTAAGAAAGATCAATCTGTAAGAATTCTGCACTCCAAATGCTTACAGGCTGCCTTTAAATCCTCATCCCACCGTAAAAGAATCATAACTAGTTCAGAGCACCTGCTCATTTAGCTGAGATTTATGCAAAGTCAACATTAAAATTAATTAGTGGCTATCAAAAGACTTTGGCCCTATACCCCCAGAGATAAATGCATACACATATAAATGCCATCTAAAACAAAACACTTTAGGTGTAAGGTAAGTTTCTTGTATAAGGCCTTCTTGTTTTAGCACTTTTTGGATTAACTAACTACAAGGATGAGAAAGCTGCCACCTGTTTCCTGTCTCGCCCAACCCCACCCTGCCCAGCCATCCTGCTCCCAGGACCCGCACCATGGATTCTTTCCTCAGGTCGCTGTACATCTTGGCCACCTTATCCTGGTCCATCTGATTGAGCTTTGGGTGGACCTTCTCCTTGGCATAGGTGATATACTTCTTCAGGACGTCCTGCGGTAGGGGCTCCAAGCCATATGTGTTGGGCATGGTGGGCTCTAGGGCACTGCCCAGCCCCTCCTCCTCCTTGTTATTAGGGTGGTGTCTGATGTGGCTGCCAACCACAAAACGGGCCAGCATCTCATCCTAAAACAAGATGAAAGAGGGTAGGTTTAAGGGGGAGTTTTGTGACCTGGCTGGGAGGAAGTCAGCTAGCTAGAAGAAGTATAAGCTGATATGTTTCAGAAGAATGTTCTCTCTCAATACTTATATCCCAAACCTACTATATGCCAGGCAGCTCCAGGTACCTGGGTCCACTCATAAATGTGATTGAGCCCTCATGGAGCACACCTCCTAGTGAGGGTAGAGAAGACACAGTTTTTAAAATTAATTATAGAAAGTAACATGTGCTGAGAAATAAGGCAATGGGTTAGGACCTGAGGAAACTCCAGCTAAGGCTGCTAGAATACCTCTGTCATTTGACAATCCCAAAGAACAGCATTCCAGGAAGGAAAAAGAGCAAGTTCAAAGACCTGGCATCTTTAAGGTGTGAATGAAGTGAGGGAAGGAAGAAGAGGCAAGCGCAGAGATCTATCTCATAGGGCCGGCAGCCACAGCAATGATGGTGGATTCTCTGAGTTACAGGGAAAGCTGCTAGCAGGTTCTTAAGAAGGAAAGGCACAACCTGACTTATGCTTTCAAAAGACAGTCTGGCTTCTAAATGGCGGTCTAAATGGGCATGAGAATAGAAGCCAGGAGACTAACCACCAGATACCACAGCACTTTGGTCAGAGAAAGAGAAGTTGAAACTCAGGTTATAGCAGAGAAGCAACAAGTGAACTCAGGTGGTAGGACCCACAGAACTTAGAAGTAGAGTATGGCCTGTGTTGGGTAAGCAGCTAGGAAGGGGCACCAACGAAGAAAAGAGAAATCAAGGATGACTTTGGACATGAGAACAAGAATGGAAAACACACAATGGTCCATGCAGTGCCCTTTCATTGTGCCTGGCACACCATAGGCCCCAAGCCTCACAAGAGGTTCCCAGAACTTACTGCATGGAAACTGGGACATGGGGTTGTGTACCTGGACTGGGTCCACTGTGTCCCTCACCACACACAGGATGTCGAAGCGGGAAATAATAGGCTCCGTGAGGTCCACATTTTCTGAGAAGGTCAGTGATGGGTCATAGCGGCCCCCTGTAACACAAAGGAACCTATCATGGATCATGCTCCTGCAGATCCTCTTTTCTGGAACCACAGAAAGTTCTCTCCAACCCAAAGTTGCTTCAGTGACTGAAGTGGAAGAGAACTTTGGTAGAGGAACTAGAAGAGGATGAAAACTCAGCACCTGCTGTCTCCCGGCAGAAACAGCCAACCAGACAGGCGAGGGTGCCTGGGCTTTCTAAGCACTTGCTGGCTGGGATTGACAACCAACTCTACCTCCACTTAGACAATGACCTAGATTCTTCTCTCAGGTCTTCTGAGAAGAATGGTCATGGTGGTTGTGAGAATACGGCTCAAAAAAAAAAAAAAAACCAGAGGTACCACTTCCCACTCTGGCAGGACATGCAGGAAAGAAACACCTTTTGTCACATAATTCCTAACTCAGATCTGCAGCTGGACGAGGGGTGTTACAGGTTCCTGATGCACAAAGGCAAGGTCTCTCTGGGTCTTGTTCCCTTTGGCAGGTCCTGGGCCCTGCCAGTTATTATGCCAGGTGTACCTATGGGGTTGGCAGCAGCAATGACAGTGCAGCGAGCCTGTAGGGAGGTGACGATGCCAGCCTTCGAGATGGAGATACTCTGCTGTTCCATTGCTTCATGAATGCTGGTTCTGTCCTGGTCATTCATCTGCAAAAGTCAAATGCATGATTTTCCCCAACATGCCGCATGAATACTTGTCCCCACTAAGGGCTTAGCCAACACACCTGAAATCCCATCACCTACAAGGTTCAGGACTCACCTTGTCAAACTCATCGATGAGACATACTCCACGGTCAGCCAGAACCAAGGCTCCAGCTTCTAAGGTCCACTCCCGGCTGACCGGGTGCCGCTGGACATATGCCGTGAGGCCCACAGCTGAAGCCCCCTGGCCAGTGGTGAAGATGGCACGGCTAGACACTTTCTCAATGTATTTGAGGAACTGAGACTTGGCTGTGCCAGGATCTCCACACAAGAGCACATTGATGTCACCTCGCACCTTGTGCTTACCTCCTGGAGGAGGCAAGATGGGGAGAGGAAGTGGAGACAAAAGGGAGGTCAGGGGGTATAGGGCTTATATCCAATTTCTCAGGTTAGTATTAATGGCAAAGGAATATTCTCTCCAGAAAAGACTGTAATGCCCTAGGATCAGCAATCCCACTTCTGAGCAATGGACCCAGAAAAATGGGTGCACAGGAAGTATGTATAAATATGTTCTTTGTAAATGTAAACTTGAAGCAAGTTAAATGTTCTCCAACTAGAAGGGTAACCAAATACATTATGCTATATGGACCATGACACAGTAACTTAAAAGGATGAACTTGCTCAGTATGCACTAATACCAAAAGATACAAAAGATGTGTTACTTGAGTGAGAAAAATTAAACTGGTATTTTATGTCTAGTCACTTACACACACATACAGAAACTGTAAAGAGAAACATGCATTTTTTAAGTGAAATCCTGTGTTTTCTAAGTACGCGTGTTAAGTCTATGAACAGCCACATAAAGGTCTGGGAGTGTACACACCACGATAACCAGAAGAGTGACCTACAGGGAAAGGACTAAGATTAAAAAGGGTGGTGAACAGTGACTTTGGCTTTTCTGTGACTTTTAACAATTTAAGAAGAGGATGTACTATACAAATTCAAAACAACTTTTTAAAAGATCAAGTTTTAAAAATAAGAGAGAAGCAAAGATAAATTTGTTCATTACAAAGACAGGCAGGCAGTGGTAGAGCAAGGGACACCATGATGCCTAAGATGCCATGCCATGGGCTTTGTTTTCCCTATGATGACTGAGCCATACATGGCCACCTCTTAACAAGCTTTAAATACAGAGTTCTGTTTGTCTGACACGTAGAACCTGGCTCCTACTAAATTCCCTGCAGAGGCTGCTCACCTGGGTTTTTGGGCTCCCCTCCAAAAAGAGCCAATGCCAGGCCTCTCTTGATGTCTTCATGCCCATAGATGGAGGGAGCAATACTGGCAAAGATCTGAGGAAGAAAGGGAGAGAGCCATGGGAACAGGACCTCTGCTCTTAAGTCTGGGCAGATAACCACCCTGTTCCAGTCTGAAGGGATGGGGAAGTCTCCAGCCGCAAAGCACCCCTCTATAGCTACTTTAATTCCACCAGGTCCAGGAATTATGCCCTGCCCTATGACTATGACCCTTGTCATTAGTTGGCTCTTTCTGAAAATCACAGAACTTAAAAGCTTAAAAGAACTTTGGTCAGACCCCTTTATGTTATCCTAGTTCAGAAAGGACAACCCCAGGGTTACAGACCAAGAGCAGAAAGGAGACAAAACCCAGGTTCTGACAGAAGAAAGACACCTTACATGGGCTCTGTGGCCTGCCTGAGCCTCAGTTTCCTCAAATGGAAAAGAGGCAACACTACCCAATTCACAGATGTTTGTAAGCTCTAAGTGAGGCATTTATACAATTGTCTGCCTCCTGGCTGAGCTGTGATGAAGAAATATAATACAAAGCCAGGTCTGGCATGGAAACAATGCAAGTGACTTTTGATGGATGAATGAATGAGTGGAGAGGTGAATATATATATATAATGGAATACAGAAGAAAGGATGAAATACTGTCATTTGTGAAAACATGGGTGGATCTTGAGAATATCATGCTAAGCAAAATAAATCAGACAGAAAAAGCAAAGTACCATAGGCACGACCAGTGTGGCTCAGTGGATTAAGTGTTGTCCCGTGAAATGAGAGGTCCTGGTTCGATTCCCAGTCAGGGCTCATGCCCGGGTTTTGGGCTCAATCCCCAGTAGGGGACATGCAGGAGGCAGCTGATCGATGTTTCTCTCTCACATCGATGTTTCTATCTCTCTCCCTTCCTCTCTCTCTAAAAAATCAATAAAAACATAAAAAAAAAAAAAGAACCATAGGATTTCACTCATATGTGGAATATAAAACAGAAAGCAACAAATGAACAAACAAAACAATCAAAACTCAAAGACACAGACAACAGTATGGTGGTTACTAGCAGGAAGAAGGGTGAAGGGAGGGTAAAGGGGGTCAAATATATGATGATGAAAGGTGACTAAACCTTGGGTAATGAGCACACAATGCAATATGTAGACGATGTACTGAAACACAAATACAGAGCATCTGGAGGTGCAGCCACCAGGAATTCAGATAATGTCAACTGGTGAGTCACTGAAACATTCTCCATTTTTCTGTTCTTGGGGGAGAGAGGAGGAGGAGGAGGAGAAGAGAGAGAAGAATGCAAAACCTGCTGAATGTTAAAGATAAAACTAGAGACATCAGAGATACATCTTGCTGATGGAAGTCAGCTTCTACCTGTGGCATGGTTGTGCCTGCACTGTTCTCAATCTTTCCATTTTGTGCAAAGCATTCACAGGTCAGACCAAGCAGCTTAGGAAGCACCAGGCCCCAGGGATGGGGCTCTGATGGGAAATCAGCCCTGGAAGTGCTGAGGGAGACCCACCCCCAAAGCACTAGATCCAGCTGTCTTGCCTCTGCCACCAGCCAAGTGGGAGAGTTACTCCCTCTGGCATCCCTAGAAGCATGAAGATGAGGGAAACCCAATTCTGAAAACTGGAGCTGGGGGTGAGGGTCAGCAGTCTACTGCATGTATGGCCACTCTCCACCACAACCAGGAGAGTGTGCCCGAAGGTCCTTCCAGAAAGAGGATCTGCTGGTACCAGTGGTGCTGCACCAGAAATACCTCTTGCCACTATTTTATATAAGTTAGGAGTGGAGGTCTATTTCCACAACATTACACATTTCCTGGTTCTTTCTTTGGCCCTAAAATTTACTGCAAAACCTACTCCAAGTAGAGGTTGCTAGCACTGTTATCATAGTGGCTCACAGTGGTCCAGGCCTCGTGCATCTAGAGGCAGACATCTCCAAATACTATTTCCCACTGAAAGGAAAGAATACTTCCTACAGGGCTGTTTGGAGAAATAGCCGATTCCAGGTCTGGGGCAGGATATATACAAGGAGTCTGCAATAATCAGTGCTGAAATCTCAACAACATTAAAACCCACAACTTTATGACACACAGTGGTTACCTCATAGGGTAAACTATTCATCATTTTGAACCAATTCATTATTTTGAAAACTACTAAATAAAGGGAAATAATCAAACATCCTGCTTTTCCTATAGGAGTTCCACCCAGGAGTAGTCAATATAATTAATGAAAAGCAGTTTCTCTATGTAGAAGTATTCCAGCAAATAAAAAAAGACAGATTTAGAGTTAGAGACTTATTTTGCACTCCTTAAGAATGGATGGATTTAGCCAAAGCTTATCAGTGGCTAACATCACATGCCTCCTGGTGGAAGTCTGCCCCTGCAGGAGTCCTGCCATGACCCCCATCCAAAAAGAAAAAAAATTCAAATGCAAGTCTGATGAAGCCTCTGTATCTGACTGCCAATTTACAGAAAACAGTCAACAGGTGTATATTAAATATAGACATAATCAGCAACATCTAGAACATGGAAAATGAGACAGGACAAATGATTCAGTATCTTCTGTTCTTTAAAAACTGCAAGAGAAGACATGAAGAGGAGATCTAAAGATGACCAGACTTAAGAGACAGATCAACTAATCACAATGTGTGGGCCTTACTGGGATAGTGACTCGGAGAAACTTAAAAAAAAAACACACAAAAAACAGTTAAGATAATCAGGAAAATGTAAAACCAACCAAATAACTAATATAAAGGAATTGGTAATTATTTTTTAAAGTGTGACGGTGGCCATGGCTGGTTTGGCTCAGCAGTTAGAGCATCGGCCTGTGGACCAGAGTCCCGGCTTCGGTTCCCACTAAGGGCATGTACCTCAGATGCAGTTTGTCCCCAGCCCGGTTGGGGTAGTGTGGGTGGCAACCACTCGATGTGTCTGTCTCACATTGATGTTTCTCTCTCCCTCCGGTTCTATCTGAAGATAAATGCAAAAAGTGTCCTCGGGCCCTGGCCGGTTTGGCTCAGCGGTTAGAGTGTCGGCCTGCGGTCCAGAGAGACCCGGGTTCAGGGCATGTACCTTGGTTGCAGTTTGTCCCCGACCCTGGTTGGTCGTGAGGGTGGCAGCCACTCGATGTGTCCCTTTCACATCGATGTTTCTCTCTCTCTCTTCCTCTCTCTCCCTCCCATTCTCTCTGAACAAAAAAATGGGAAAATGTCCTCGGGTGAGGATTAAAAAAAAACTAAAACAAAACCATATTACGGTGGCACTCTTTCTGGAGAAGACTGTGGGTAGAAGTCTGATACCAGGGGATACCCACACAAGACAAGTTATTCCTACTGCTCTGCCTCCACTTCAACTTCAAGCCTGGGCTCTACACAATCTGATGAATCCTTATAACCTTGTCCTAACTGGGGGGCGGGGGGAGGGCACAGGCTCAAGTCAATCCCTGATGCCAACATTTATGCTCTCCCTGTGGAGTGTGGAGACTCCCATCAAGGCAAGTTTACTGAGCTGCCACTGGGAATAAAACATAGGAACCCAGTTTCAAATACCTGGGAATCAAGACTGAGGTTTCAGGGCAGAGGTAGTAGTAGCCAAAGCTTGGGCAGTAAGCCCTGGGCACCCACAACACCCCCCGTGAGCCCCTGGGTTTCTTGTATAGCATGGCAGCCCTGTAAGACTTCAACTTGCCTTCTCCCCGATCTGCTGGTCCTTGGAGAGGCTAGTGATCATCTTTACATCTTCATCAGTCAGTTCCCCCACGGCAACCTTGTTGTCCTTCTTGGCCACGTGGTTGGCTAAGATGACTGTGGCAAAGACGGGGAAGCCATTGGCAGTGTTGAGGGAGCCATCATAGTTGTTATGGTAGATACCAGTCAGTTCCTGGGGAAAGGGGAGACCGTATGGTCAGGAAGGCCAGCCCTGGGGTCAAAGTGGGAGCTGGGCCTACTTTCACACATTGGCTTCATCCAATTGCTTCTCCTTCAAGTCCTCCATGTTACAGACACCAAGGTAAGAAACTCAATAAAACCAAAGTATAACTAGTCCTCAACCCACTGTTCCAGATAACCAGTCTAGTACAAGGGTTACTTAAGAACTCATCTCAGCCCACTCCCCAGCTGCCACTGATCCCTCCCTGACCCATCACAAATGCTCACACAAATCTCCTTAGTAACTCAGTTCCCTCCCAGCCCACTTCTGGCCACATACTATCTCATCTCCTGGCTTGCAGCTGTCCACCAGATCGGCCAGGAGAATAGCATCCTTGGAGCGGGGAAGTCGGCCAGCTGCCACTTTGCCGGGACTCTCCTGAATGCGGATGCGCTGGTAGTTCTGATAGATGGTCTGAAAGGAACAAATGAACATTCATGAGACCGGTCCCTGTAAAGCAGACTTCACATTCCTCCAAGCACTGAATTATGTCACCTGACCTTGACCGCAACCCTGTGAAGGAGAGTAGACAGTGTTGTTATTCCCCACTACTGATTAGGAAACAGAAAGCCAAAGACAGCAGGGAGTGAGCCCACTGTAACCAGCACATCAGTGGAAGGCCCCAACTCCTGACACCACCCTGCTAGATGTGTCCTGACTGCTGGACGGTCAAGCACCCTCATGTGAATGGAGCCAGGCTGCCTAGATTCAGATCCTGGCTCTGTGATTTACACTGTGTGATCTTGGGCAGATGACTGCCTCTCTGTGTCTTCAATGCAGAATGAGGATGCTAATACTGCCAAATGCAGTCTCCTAATGAGGATTAAATCAAGCTATAAATACAAAGCACTTAAACTGATGCCTAAGTAAAAAATTACATTTAGTGTGGGCTCTGATTATCAAGTATCATGTGCCAACATTGTGCTTATATCACTTACTGTCTAGAAAAGAGCTACATAATACAGCAGTTTAAAGAGCTTACTTTGGGTCAAAATGTCTTGACTTCTAATCCTTTGAGTCATTACCTGGCTGGGTAACTCCAGTCAATTTCTTCAGTGGCAAAACAGGGTAATAGTACCCACCTTATAGGGTATGGTGAAGACTACATATGTTTCACTTAATACCTGAAAAGTACTCTAGAAATGTCAGCTATAATTATTAATCCTCTACTAGTTACCATCTCAAGTTCCCTAGAAGTGGAGCCTCAAGCTCTGCTCCTGTGCAGGATACTTTTGTGAAGGTGGAATATGTAAAGGGACAGAAGCTAGACAGAGCAGGGAAGCCTGGACAGAAGCCTGGGCTCAGGTGATGACCAGTCTTGCAGGTATCTTTCACCAAGCAAGGTGTACTTGAAATTTTAAATAGATCAGTTTTTGGCTGCGGGCTGTCATAAGCACAATTTCCCAGGCATTTTCTGGCAAGGCAAGGAGGCTATGGATAGGGCACTTCTCAGAAGTGTAGAGCAGTAGAGGTGAGTTGCCAATACTTAGGACAGCAAGGCACAAGATGTGTGATTCCACTGCAGGTACCAGGACTTTACAGATGAAGCTGTTCAAATACAAAGGCACATGTAAGCTGCCTGGGGCTAAGGCCCAGAGGCTTTCACCATCTCTTAAGCATAACACAATAGTGTCTAAAGTGGTTACAATCCAGGGCCTCAACCAAAGACACACAGAGGCAGGTACCAGAAACATCAAGAGGAAGTGTTGATGAGACTACAGGTGCCCATGTGAGTGATGGATTGGAAAGCGGGTGCCCTGCTAAGGGTGCAGCTGGGCAAGAAGTGAGCTCAGTCTAGCCAGATCTTCCTATTTTTCATGAGAAGTCATAAACTTTGGTGTGTTAAACAAAATCAATTGATTTTTAAACATTAACTTGTGTTTCTGAAAACACCATATGGGCAAAACTAATGAGGCTGGCCAGAAAGAAGTGGTTTGCCCTAAGGTATGGCCAATACACAATACCCTCTTGCTTCCCTCAGCTGCCTGTGCTGGTTTTCCAAACTGCCTAAAAGGTCAGGCACCTATATACCAGGGACTACTGAGACAGAGACGGCCAGCAGCCAGCGCGGTGTGCTTGCTCACCTCTTCCATGTTGACTTCAAAAGGGCCAGCTGACTGGCACTCTGGACAGGAGCCAGGCTTCACCTCCTGGTTCTGGGACTGAGAGAAAGGCCCCAGCACGAAACTACACTTGTTGCAGTTGTACTTGACCATGCTGAGCTGGGGCAGGACACCTGTGCAACTGGTCACCACCCCACTGGTACGAATCAGCTGGTTCAGGTGCAGCTGCCTATGGAGATGAGAGGACACATCAGAGGTCTGGAGCCCTAATGCTTGACCCATGTGCCCTCTGGAGAGGTGAGGACAGCATGTGAGAGCATTCCAACATGAGATTCCAAAAATTTGGGGCCTGGAGCCACCAGATCTATCACACTCCATCCCTGTGCAAGCCAGAAGTCATGGCAGAGGGGTCTCCTTGGCTGAAGCCATCCACTGCCACTCTCAAATGATGCTTGAACCACAGGGTGCCAAGGACTGGACCCTAGACCCCGTCCTATCCTCAGCTCACCTCAGTGACCGCAGCTCTTCCACCAGAGGCAAGTGAGAGATGCGCACATGGATATGGCTGGTGATGCGATCATACTTGGGGTACATGGCCAGCACGACCTCCAGAGCAGCCTCATCGAAGATCTGCAGCAGCTCTGCTGGTGCCTCTGGCAGGAAGTATGCCAGGACATGCTCCCTGGCTGCCAGGTCCTCATAGTTCACCACCAGGCTCTCACGATTCTCTAGAGATGGGAATAAAACTGAGTATTAAGCTAGAGATAATTTCTGTCTCACAGTGAGAAGAGAGAACCTGCCCACCCAGTCCTTGAGCTAGTAAGCGCAACTCTCACTTCCAAGTCCACCTTGCTTTAACTATGTGACTTAGATATAGTGACACATCCTGAGCCTCAACTTCCCAATCTGTAAAATGAGGATGTCACACAGAGTACAAAGTCGCTGGAGAAATTAAGTAAAATAATACACACAGAGTAGCCAATATAGCAGGGCTGCAACATGAAATGCCTGTAAGGGCCAGGAAAAAAACCAAAAAATAAAATATTTCAAATTAAGACATAGGGTGTGGAGAAGACAGCAGGAAACAAAGAACTACATGCCTCCTTTTAAAATAATTCCTGTCCCACAGAAATATGCTACTACTTTATAATCAAAGTAATAAACCATATTTTTACATAAAACCTGCCAAAAATATTTTCTTTAATCCTCACCTAAGGATATGTTCACTGACTTGGGGAGGGGGAGCAAGAGGGATGGGGGAGGAGAAAGGAGGACAGAGGGAGAGAAAAATCAAATGGTTGCCTCCTGTATGCACCCCAAACAGGGATCAAACCCATACACTAGGTATGTGCCCTGACTGGGAATCAAACTCGCTATTTTTCTGGTATACTGGACAACACTCCAACCAACTGGGCCATCGGGCCGAGGCAAACCTGCCAAATTTTAAACATGCTAAAAGACACGGACAGTTGGCTGGACTGTTCTAGTGCAGATTGGCAATATTTTTTGCATTTGTCTGAAAGATGAATTATCATGGGCACAGGTCCTAGTTCCTGTCCAGCAACAAGCAAGTTATATAATGTTCCCTGTATTCCGTGTCTCTATTTAATGTGCTGTTATAGGGCCAAAATGATAACTTTCTTCAGGAGAGCTCTGCAAGGCGGCCTGTTGTGAGCAGAGGCCAGGAGTACAAAAGCCAAACCTTTGCACATGTCACTGATGCGCTCCTTGAAGACGTTGTGCCCATGGCTGTCCACATGGGTGCGCAGGAAATTCTTGAAGCGGTGGTGGATCTCTAGCCGGGGGCCTGACATGCTCACCCACTCACGCACAGAGTGGCCCTTAAGGTCCTCCAGGTTCTCAATGCTCTCGATCATCTCATCCTCCTCACCATCCTCTGTGGCCCGTTCCACTTGGCGGCGCTTCCGGGTGGGGCGATCCCCATCCTCTTCATCACTGTCTGGGGACAAAAGGGACATCCTGGTGTGAAGTCTTCCCTAGCACTCCTTCCCAGCTCCCTGAGGCTCTGAAGCAGGACTAGTCAGTCCCCTTGGGGTTGTAGACATCTCAACCTACCATACAAGAGCCCACGGCGCATTCGGCCCAGGTCCCGGGCGGCCTCACGATCACGCTGCCGCATGGCCCGCTCTGCCGCCTGCCTCTGACTGGCTGTCAGTTCCTCTACGTCCTCATCATCCAAGGCCAGTCCATCAGCCTCATAGGTGTCCAGCTCTGGGATGGCACGGTAGTCCCTGAGAGACCCCCAGATGGACCCTGTTAGTGTCAAAAAAACAAAAATACCCTAACGCCACCCAGGAACAGGGCTTGTTCCAGAAGGCTCAGGAGCCTGGGCCTGGGCAGGCCTGAAGAGTTTCCAGGCTAGAAACACAGAAAGATCAAAAGGATCTCCAATGGATTAACCAAGTGTGGTCTATCCATGCAATGAAATACTATTCAGTCTCAAAATGAAGGAAAGTCTGAGCCATAGTACAACATGGACAAACCTTGAGGACATTATGCTTAGTGAAATAAGCAAGTCACAAAAATACAAATAATGTACAATTCAGTGTGGTAAGATGAAAAAATTCTGGAGATGATGGTGATGGTCACACAACAATGTTAAGTGTACTTAATGACGCTGAACTGAATACTTAAAAATGGTTAAGATGAGATTTTTTTTGTGTATTTTCCCACAATAAAAGTGGGGTGGACTCTCCAGACAGCTTTAAGTACCCAATAAGAAAGAGGAATTGGAGGAACCACAAAACCTTCACACAGAAAGGCCTTTCAGAGAACCAACCCCAGCTCCCCCACTGGCAGGAATTCTCCCTCTCAGACAATGCCAACTCAAACACCTTAAAGTCCTGGGAAGGTCTTCTTTGACATCAGCCAAACAGCTTCCCTGATATGTCTGCCCACTGGCTCAAGCCTCTTAGCTTTTCCAGGATTGTCAGAGTTAATTTTCCACAATGTCATCTATCAGCTATTTGAAGAGGAATGATGCCTTAACAAGGAACCCCCGAAGAACAAAGTCCTGCTCTCTTCTCTATAATTCTAGAAATAGACATCACTGCTCCAGCCAAAAGATGTGGAAACTGAGTATTAGACTCTAATGCTTAGAGGATGATATGACTTTTACCAATGGTCGCTCAGCAGAGTTGGGCATCAAGATCCAGTCCAACCACAAATCGCAATGTTTGTTCCCTGATGCCACACTGTCTCCCCAAGATAATCCTCTTGAATTCTTCCTTTTGTCAGGTACGTGGTGATTAGGGAAACTACTACTATTTGGGGGTTTCTTCTTGTTTTTTACTCTGTCAAGTTACATTCTCAGAATAAGTAATCCTATACTGCTGATACTAGAAACAGAAGACAGAGACAGGTTAATTTCTGGGCTCAGCTGTTTCTGAATTCTTAATTCTCAGGGAAAAGGTATCTGACTCTTTTTTTTTTTTTTTTTTATCCTCACCCGAGGACATTTTTTTGTTGTTGTTGTTCAGGTAGAGCGGGAGGGAGAGAGAGGAAGAGAGAGAGAGAGAAACATCGATGTGAAAGGCACACATCGAGTGGCTACCACCTGCACGACCAACCAGGGCCGGGGACAAACTGCAACCAAGGTACGCGCCCTTAGCGGGAACCGAACCCGGTCTCTCAGGACCGCAGGCCGACGCTCTAACCGCTGAGCCAAACCGGCCAGGGCAAAGGTATCTGACTCTTTAAGAACTTTAAGTCACATAAAATATCCCAGTGAAATTCTAATTAACCCATAAAAAATTAATAAATTGGACCTGATCAAAATTAAAAACTTTTGTGCTTCAAAATATACCATTAAAAAAAAAGGGAAAAGACAAGCCATGGATTGAGAAGTATTTGCAAATCACATATCTGATACAGAACTTGTATCCAGTATAAAAACTCTTACAACTCATCCTGTTTATGTGGCTCAGTGGTTGAACATCAACCCATGCACCAAGAGGTCACTGGTTCAATTCTCAGTCAGGGCACATGCCTAGGTTGTGGGCCTAATCCCCAGTGTGGGGCATGCAGGAGGTGGCCAATAGATGTTCTCTCTTGTCAATGTTTCTATCTCTCTCTCCCTCTCCTTTCCTCTCTCTCTAAAATCAATAAAGAAAGAAAGAAAAAAAAACTCTTACAACTCAACAAGTTAAATAATCTGAATAGACATTTCTCTAAAGAAGATACACAAATGTGTTTGGTTGGTGTGGGTCAGTGGTTGAGCATCGACCCACGCATTAAGAGGTCGCTGGTTTGATTCCTGGCCAGGACACATGCCCAGGTTGTAGGTCCGATTCCCAGTTGGGGGCATGCAGGAGGTGACCAATTGATGTTCTCTCTCATTGATGTTTCTAGCTCTCTCTTCCTCTCGCTCTAAAAAAAAAAGAAAAAAAAAGAAGATATACAAATGTAAGAAGATACACAAATGATCACGGGAAAAGATGTTACACATCAATAAGCGTCAGAGAAATGTAAATCAAAATCCAAATGAGGCACCACCCCACACACAATAGGATGGCTATTATAAAAAAAAACAGAAAATAACAGGTGCTGGTAAGAATGTGGAAAAATGGGAACCCTCATACATCATTTGTGGGAATGTGAAATGTTGCAGCTGCTTTGGAAAACAGCCTGGCAGTTCCTCAAAAGATTAACCACAGAGTTAACATATAACCCGGCAATCCCATCCCTTGGTATTTGTCCAAGAGAACTGAAAATGCATGTTCACATAAAAACTTCGTAGTAGCATTATTCTTAAGTGCACAAAAATGCAAAGAACCCAAATGTCCATCAACCGATTGTGGATAAAAAAAAAAATGCAGTCTGTCCATACAATGGGATATTATTCAGCCACATAAAGGAATTAAGTACTGACACACACCACAACATGGATAGAACTTGAAAACCACACTATGTGAAAGAAGCCTGTCACAAAAGCCAGTCATGTATTATGATTTCATTTTTGTGAAACGGCCAGAATTGGCAAATCTATAAAAACAGATTGGCTGCCCAGGGGTGGGGACAGAAATCAGAATTAACTGTGAACCAGCACAAAGTGTCTTACTGGGATGAACGTTCCTAATAAGAAAATTTTCTAAAACTGGACTATGATCAAAGTTGCCAAACTCAGGAAATCAACTAGAAGGCACTGAATTGTATTCTTACAAGGGGTAAATTTCAGAATATATAAATTACAGCTCAGTAAACATGTTTGTTAAAAAGCCACAAAACCAGTCTAATTGGGCCCAGCTAATCCTCTGACACCTTTATCTAGAGGCCCCTGCAAAGGGCCTCTGTTGTTCTCTGAAAAAAAGGAGAGGTGGAAACAGAAGGCAGAGGATGAGGGATGGGGTGCACTGCCTGAACAATCCCACAGCACAAAAGGACCTGTCCAGGGTTGATGTGTCGCCGACTCCTCATTCCTTCCACAGTCTCTGATGTACTACACACCCAGCCTGATTGTCTGGGATGACAGTGCTTAAATCAAAGATCCAAATGGTCTAGAGTGCTCATGGCAGTGTGTGGGATGGCTCACAAAGCACTCCCTGTGTACTGTGCGATGGCCTGTACTGTGTCCTCTCACACTAACCAGTTCTGGAACCCTGACTCCCAAAAAAGAAAGGCCCAAAAGAAGACTGTTCTTGAGACTCCTGGGCATTCACACAATTCTATTACTGATGCATCTAACCAAATCCTGGTTGTAAATATGGAGTAAGGGAGTAGAAATCTAACCTTGCTTCCTTGCAAAGTTTACTCTACTGTCTTAGCATTAAGCTTCAATAACCTTTAATACATACCTATATGTTTATTAATTAAGTGTGAAAGTATCTAACACAGGGCATGGTGCATGTTTGCTGAACTGAATCTAAATCTTGGTTAATCAGCCCCTCCTCCCTTTGACTTTCTTTGCAGTTGCAGAAAAACATTTAGCTGCCTGCTTCCTGTCCTTCCCAGCTGACACCCTTGATATGGTCCACCAGGTTAGAGACACCCTGCATCCCCTGGGGCACACATCTCACAGTTACAAGGACCTACATTGTGACCCTACAAAGCTATCTGTCTCCCTCCAGAACCAATGTGCTCTCAAAGGCAAAATGCTGTGATTTTTCTGCTTTCCTAGCACCCATAGCAAGGTCGCTGACATACAATGGACTCTCTTCAAAACTCTTTGTTGAGTGCAGGGCCTTGAATGAAAGTACCTCTCCATGCCATCTCCAATAAGTTCCTCTCCATCCTCTTCCTCCTCCTCTAAGGGTGCCTCTGTGCCTAAGAGCCCCTCAGACTCATCCTCAAAGGGAGGAAGGTCACGGCCAGGGCTGGAGGTCAGGGCATCTGTGCGCCGGGAGCTTCGCTGAGGGCTGGAGGCCATGAAGGATTCAGATGATTCCTACAGGGGAAGACAGAGAAGGTGAGGGCTGACTTAGCTTTCTGAGGTGGTCTTCCGCACAAGCGATCCTGTCCTCCATCACCCAAATCCTTTCCAGCCTCGACTTTGCACTTGCTGTTTCCTCTACGTGGAATGGTCTCCTCTGAGCAGAGCCAGTGGCTTCTTAGCACAGGGAACCAGCTCAAATATCACTTTCTCAAACATATGGTCACTCACAATACGGTTTTCTCCAGGGCAAATCACTGAGGATACCTCATTAATGTACCTATTTATGGTCTATTTCTTCCCGTAAGCAAGCATTCCCAATCATTTCACCCACATCATGCCAGGTACTGTGATACAAGAACAACCGAAACATAAGAGGTCTTGATGCTTACGGACGGGTGGTAGAAAGATCAGACAATAAACACGACAAACAGACAAAAAATATTACAATAACAAATACACGAAGATTCGGGACCCTTTCTATCTCGTGTTACATTCTGCGCAGGCAAAGAGAGTGGGCCCAACAAGCATGTGCGGAGTGAATAAATGATAGGCGGGCTGAGCTCGGCTCCGGGTGTCCAGCGCTCCCATGCTGGAGCGGAAGAGGCAGCATCACCGGGCGGACTCCAACGGTGCGGGGCCCGCTGGTTTTGCAGACCCCGTGAAAAATCAGAGGCCAAGGGCCCAATCTCATCCGAATGACCGATCCGTGGCGGGGGCGAGGGAAAAGCAGGGCATGGACCCAGCGAGGGCAAGAACTAAAAGTGAGCAGCGGCCCCAGACCCCAGAGTTGCCCCAGCTGCTGAAGCACGCCCCGCACTGCCCGCGCCTCAAGCTGTTCTGACTTGTGAGCCGCGGGGACCACCCGCAAACCCCACACCCGCGCGCTCACCGCCATCTTAGCGCCGCGTTCCTCTCCGATACTCCAGCAACTAGTTTTCGCGCGAAAAGTGGCTCACATGACCGTCAGCCTGAGAAATGTCAGAACATGGCGGCATGACGTCAGCGTCTACTTGCGATAGGCTGGCGTCGCAGGGGGCGGGTTAGAGGAGCAGCCTTGCCCACAACGCCCGGAGGCCCGCCCACGACGCCCGGAGGGGCGGGGCCGACAGTGCCGGTGGCAGCGCCAACACAGCCACCCTCTGAATGGTGCTTGGCTGGGTTCTCAGCACCTCCCTGACCAGCAGTTTGGGAGTTGTTGCGAGTGGACCCGCCCCAACTGTTGGCTGCGTAACCAAGCCGTGTTATAGTTGAAGCAACTGAAGTTCAGAACTTTGTTTTCTGAGGTCCTAACTGTGTTATGAGTGGAAAATCAGTTTCAGCTTCTCCAAAAGCTCTCAGGCTGAGTACTTCAAAGTTCCTAAATGCTCCGGAATTGTAGAAAGCCACTTCTGATGTTACAATAGGAGTTAACCTCACTGAGGGGAGCAAAATACAGGGAGGAATGTTCCAGATTTAAAAATTGCTTTTGTGCCCTGGCCGATTTGGCTCAGCGGTTAGAGCCTCGGCCCATGAACCAGAGAGACCCAGGTTCTGTGCCCGCTAAGGGCATTACTTCAGTTGCAGTTTGTCTCCCGCCCAGGTTGGGTCGTGTGGGAGGCAGCCACCTTATGTGTCCCTTTCACATTGATGTTTCCTTCTCTCTCTCCTCCCTCACACTCTATCTGAACAAAAAAATGGCAAAATGCCCTCAGGTGAGGATAAAAAATAATAATAAAGTCTTTAAAGAAAAAAAGACTTTTGTAAAGATGAGTATGGATGGCACAGTGAGTATCTGCAAGCAATTCCATAATTCGGATTACACAGTTTGTGAGGCCCAGAAAGGAACAAAGACTTGAGGTTGGAGAGCCAAGGTCACGAAGATCTCCTAGTCTTTCTAGGGAGTTGGAGCTTTATCCTGAGGGCCGTGGAGAGCCACAGACGGGTTTTGAGCAGGTTCAACAAGTAACTGTGGGTTTTAGGACAATCTCTCAGGATGCTTCGGGGTGGAGGTGAATTGAACCAGATTGGAAGTGGTTGCTGCGGTTTTTCCTCCAGGAGCGCAGGCTAAGGCAAGTGCCTTGGTTAGCCGGGCAAGGCTGGATCTCAGCCCTCTAGGTACTTTTCTGCAGTAAACAAGCATCTCTGGATGGGACGCAGAATATGGGGCAGGATGGATGATGAAGACTGAAAATAGCCAAGGAATGTCTGTTGGCCTTAGGGATTGAAGACAGCAAAAAGGAGGCATCCAGGATGACAACAAGATTCTGGTTTGGGTGATGTGGCAGATGATGACACCAACTCTGAGATGCAGAATGCAGGAGGAAGACAAATTTTGGGGGAAAAGAGGATGAGTTTGTTTCTGGCTGTTGAACACAGATCCTGAGTGGGGATATCCAGGAGGCCATTTGATATCCATTCATGTCTGGGGCTTGAAAGGGAGTTTGAGCTACAGTCTTAAATAGCCTGAGTGGCTGGATAACCAGAAAGTGAGTGCAGAGAGAAGAGATGGGCCAGACCTGGGACCTGGGAAACCCTAACCATTAAAAGGCACCAACATAGGATGCTGGGAAGGAGTTGGGATACTAGGAGCCCCTCAGGAGAAACCAGAGAAGAGATGGTGGATCGGATTATGCTAGTTATCTATTTAAGCATTACAAATTGTAAGGGAATTTAGTAGGTTAAAACAGTTACTGCATATTTTCTCAGTAGCTATTGTCTCTATGTGGTTTCAACTTGGCTGATGCCTCTGCCTCAAGGTCTCTCACAGGCTGCACTCGGGGTGCTGCACTTGTGGAAGGCTCAGCTCAGGAAAGCCCCGCTTCCAAATTCCTTCATTTGACAGGTTTCAATTCCTCCTTGGCTGTTTGATGAGGACTCAGTTTCACATTGGCTCTTGAGTGGGGGCCTCCTCAGTTCCTTGCCATGTGGGCCTCTCCATAGGGCACCTCACAATATGGCAGCTACTTTCCTCAAAGCAAGTGAATGGGAGGGTGAGAGAGGCTAAACAAGATAGGAACCATGTCTCAGAAGTGACATTCTATCACTTTTGCCATGTCCTGTTTGTTAGAAGTCAGTAGTTAAGTTCAGCCCATTAAGGAGAGGGATCATCGGGGGCCATCTCAGAGAGTGTGAACCTAGGGGGTGTCAAGATGGTAGATGGGGACAGTAGGTGAGACACTGCCAAGAGGTCAAGTTTGGTAAGGACCAGGAGCCATTGGTATGCTGGATTGGTGTCAGACACCACATGGAGTGCACTGAGGAGAAGGGAACAGAGAAGGGTGAATATGAATAATTCTTTGGAGAGGGAAATGCCTTAGGTGTCTTGATCCAATGACATGGAAGCCAACATGGGCCCATTGGATACTATAGTCAACAATTAAATCCAATGGTCAAAGGTCGTTCTCCCTGTATGACAGCTATTGTGGCCACTGCCAATTTACTACAACATGCAGAATAGATAATAAAGAGCTCTCCACTAATTCTTCATGTGCCTCATTCAGTGAAAGCCTTACTTAACTTTGGTCATACTCAGCATCTTTCTGCTAGCAGACTAACCTTCTATGAAGTTCTTTAATTGTCTTCATTTAATGTGATAATAGCTCCCTGTAATACTCTGAATCCTGCTACGCTCCTTCCTCTGTCCTCTGATGAAATCCTTCATGACTGCCTGACATTAAGACCAACTACTAACTCGTCAAATTGATTTATAGGAAACAATTCTTGAAAATGGTAAATTAGTTTGGTTTACTGATGGTTCTCACCTGAAATATGAAATAAGCCACTATCAAGCAGGCTATGCACTTGTCTCTAAATGAGACCATTGAGGCCAGTCCAATGCCTCAGGAAACTTTTGCTCAACAAGCAGAGCTCTGTGCATTAATTTGAGCTTGAAGTTGGCCAAAGGTAAAACATCTAACATTTATACTGAGGGCAGGTATGCCTTTGTTGTTGTCCATGACTTTGGTATGCTCTGGAAACAGGATTCTTGACTTCCAGACAAAAGATAAAATACAGTTCTTAGATTTTAGAACTCTTAGAGGCTATCCAGTTACCTAAAACTTTAGCAGTCATAAAAGTCCCTGAACATTCATTGGCAAACACCGGCAAAAATAATGGTAGTCATTTGGCTGACACTGTTGGGGTCAAGCAAGGGCCCTTTAAGAATAAGTTGGCTATACGTGCAGAGCCTGTTTGCTGCCTGAAGGGTTTTGAAATATCGCCTTGAGGAACATTCCTGAGATAAGGTCCCTGGTTAATGTTAGAGCAGTAAATACCTTTGATAATTGAGAGTTGTTTTCTCTGCTCATGCATCCCTTTTCCCCCTCCCTGTCTGACCTTTCCCGCAAGTATATAATCTGTTACCTATCTGCAATAAAGTTGAGACTTGATCAGACTCCTGTCTTGTCTCCATTTCTCGTGTCTCTTGTCCCTCCTCATCCTCACTCCCCCTCTAGAGTCCTCGTTGCTCGACCTGCAGGACGGGTCATGACACTGCTGCAAAATTAGCATTAAAACAATCTCAGCCCCTAGTAGAAGCATCTGTGCTACCGGCTGAAGCAATTGGAGATTTAAACATTGTGGAAGCATGGCATTTAGAGTTCAACAAAAAAGTAAGTAGTGGTTAGAACAAGGCTGTAAATTTAACCCTAAAAGAAACTCCTCCCTGATTGCAACTTCACATATTACAGTATGTACATGACTTAACTTACTGGAACCCTAAAGAAATGGTTTCATGAAGAAGACAATAATGCTGGAAGTCATCTCCAAAGATAGCTTCATAGGTACACCAAAAAATGCCAAATCTGCCCAAAGCACAACCCTGAAAAGCCCATCCATACCTCTTTAGGGCATTTTCCCATGCCTTTAGGCCCCTTTGAGATCTGCAAATGGACTTTATTCAGTTGCCCCCTTGTTAAAGATACAAGTATATGT